TTAAAAATTCACAGAGAGCTGGAACAATTGCAGAAAAATTGGAGCCCTGAGGTCAGTCTTTTTCATCCAGTTCTGGAGGTATTAAAAAAAAAATTGCAAATTTCCACCAAAACCAGGTCTTTGAGGGGCAGAGAAAGAATGCCATTTTTCTAAAAATCCAAAACATAGAAGGGGTCTTCAAAAAATTCATGGAACATGTATATTATGGATTTCACATTTTGTTTGTACCAAAATAAACTTGTATTTGAATTCCATCTTCCCATGAACTTTTTTAAAAGAATTATTTAAGTCCATTTGTTATTATTAATATTTTTCAATTTGACTGGAGAGAGAGAAAGGGAAAGCAAGAAAGCAAGCCACCATGCCCAGGACTTGAACTATGGTCAGCCATGTGGAAGTTCAGTGCTCTTAACCACCACACCACCTGCCAGTCTCCCTACAAACTTTTTGGAGTCCTCATACATAACAGATTTATCCTTAATGTGAAAGCTGTCGGGTGCCATGTCAGTTGTTGGTACACCACTCACAGACACAGACAGCATGGCTGCCATACAGCAAGCCCCTGCTCTCTGGCCCACACACTGGGGGCTCCTGGATCCTGGATTTCAGTGAGGGAGAGGAAGTAAGGAGTGGGTACATGGAGGAGAAGGAGGGTCGAGGTATGGCACAGAATTTTGCAAAGGCAAAGAGGTTATTAAGGGAAGTGGAAGAGTGTCCTGGGGTAGAAGTTTTTATGAATCCCTATTCTTGGAATGCCTTAGAATCACTGGATTTGTGAAATGGAAGCAGTAAGCCAGCTGCAGTTCTATTTCATAGGTGATAAAATGGGCAAATAAACAAACCGGTTCCATGTGTCCAGCGGGGAATACAATCAGAATACAAGTCACTTAACCTCTGGTCCTGGGATCTACGGCCTCACGCTAACTGGTCTAAAACCGGTAGTTCCAAGGACATAGTCTAGGAAGCCCTGTGACATCACAAGTGGCAACTGGATTTACTATATGACCAATGCCAAATTAACTCCTGCCTATGAGACTGGCACCATTACTCACATGGCCATAGCACACATTGGCCCTATGTAGTTACTCCTCCAAGCACAGAAAGAACTCTGACGTGTCTTCCTAGTTGAGAACACTCCTACTGTGACACCATCACACACAGGAAAAGAGTGTCCAGAAGCCATCGGGCTCACTTCCAAGTCCTTATATTTAAGAGTTTAGAGAGCGAACACCGCTATTTTCCACCCATACAAGTAATACTCATGATGTCCACGGCCTTTTAAGGGAAACCGAGGGATGTTTGACAATGGACTTGTCCTTCATTTACTCCAAGCTCAATCCTCTCGCCCAACAGTAAGTTGAGGGTAGAGAAGATGAATGCTATTAAAACTATAATTCTTTCTCTTCTTCCTTTCTGTCTTTTTCTCTTTCTTCCCTTCTCTCATTTTGCCAGCAGGTGTGTGTTCTCT